TTGGAAAATGAGTATAAGAACAGTCGTGAATTATTGAATGGCTGAGATCCTGCTTCAGGATTTAGACAGCAGAACTGCCCCACCAGGAGAGTCTCCTTGGGAAAAGGGCATATTTAGTAACATACAACATTATAGCTGGAAGGAACCTTAGAAAGCACCAGTTTAGCATTTTCCAAAGTGTTCCAAAAATGACTTAGATCTGCATGTGCTTTGCTGAAAACAATAAATAATTAAGTGGTCAAATAAGTTTGGGCAACAATGCATATCCTCATCTGAAAGAGCAGTAATTCACATTAGCATATTAGAGGCCTTGTGAAGTCCTGCAGTAAGGAATCTGCTTAGCTAATTTAGCTCACTGGTTTCCACACTTACTTGACCTCAGAATCTTTTGTTTTTTACATAATGCCTGTTAATCTTCTGAGGAGTTGGAGTTCTATGGGACATAGTCTGGGAGGATTGGATCTAATTCCATCTACTCTTTTCCCATATGAGGAAGCTGAAGTCCACAGCAGTGAAATTACTTGGCCATGATCACAGAAATTGCAGGTGGTAGAGCTGAGCATAAACCCCAAGACTTTGGACCCTTAGTCTGGAGTTCTTTCTTTTTACCCTGAACACTACTTTGTCTAAAGGACTTTTCCTCCTTTATTTTTTTTAATTCAATGTTTATTTATTTTAGAGAGAGGTGGGGGAAGGGGCAGAGAGAGAGAGAGAATCTGAAGCAGACTCTGCACTGTCAGTGCAAAGCCCAATTTAGAGCTTAAATCCATGAACTGTGAGATCACGACCTGAGACAAAGTCAGACACTCAACTGACTGAGCCACCCAGGCACCCCAATGGACTTTTCCTCCTTTAACTCTCCTGTCATCTTCTTTAAGGCACCAGTTGTTAAGAGAAAGACTACTCAAGGAAAATTGTATTCTTTTACCCATGGGTTGCCACAACCAGCATTATCACAGATGCCAAATGGGGAAAGCAAAGAAAAAGTCAACCGTTTAGTATGTTTGCTTCCAAATAATCAGTGTTTTGAGACCAGCTGGAATATTCTTCAGACCCTACATGTTTCTGTTTACCAAATTGCAGATCACCAGGAAGTGACACGAAGTATATGATCTATTGCTAAAACTATCGCCAAATCTACTGACCTAAGAACAAGAAACCTTTATTATATCTTGCATAGTTTCTGTGGGAATCTGGGAGTGGCTTTGGTGTGTGATTCTAGTGCAGGGTTTCTTGTGAGGCTGTAGTCACAATGTCAGGCAGGGTGGTCATCTGAAGGTTTCACTGGGGCTAGAGCATCTCCTCTCAAGGTAGTTTACCCATAAGCCTGGAAAGTTTATTCTAGCTGTTGGCAGGAGGTGTTACTTCCTTGCCATATGGACCTCTCCACAAGGTTGCTTGAGTAGCCTCATGACAGACATGGTGGTTGGCTTTCCCCAGAGTGAGGAATCCAAGAGAAAGAGCCAGGAGGAAGCCGCAGTGCCTTTTATGACCCAGGCTCCGTGTGGGTCAATTCTGTCATATTCTACATTTATTAGAAATGAGCCACTATGTCCCGTCTACACTCAAGGGAGGGAGTATTAGTTTCTCCCTTTTGGAGGAACAAGTGTCAGAGAATTTGTGGACATATTTTAAAACCACCATACCAAGAACCAAGAAGAAGTTGTAAGAAGAAGGATGCTAATTAAATGACCAAAACAGGAGTGCCTGGGTTGCTCAGTCAGTTAAGCAGCCAACTCTCAATTTCGGCTCAGGTCATGATCTCGTGGTTCAGGAGTTTGAGCCCTGAATTGGACTCTGCACTCACAGTGCAGAGCCTGCTTTGGATCCTCTGTCTCCCTCTCTCTCTCTCTCTCTCTCTGCTCCTCCCCTTCTCATGCTCGCTCTCTCTCTCTCTCTCTATCACACACACACACACACACACACACACACACACACACACACAAATAAACATTAAAAAAATAATAAAATAAATGACCAAAACATAAAGAACATATTTGGGGTAAAAATCCATTTAGGACAAGAACAAGTGCTAACTGGAAACTCTGAAAGAGATCAAGGACAAGAACAAGTGCTAACTGGAAACTCTGAAAGAGATCAAGAATTTAAATTTACATGGGGGCATATGGGTGGCTCAGTTGGTTAAGTGTCTGACTCTAGATTTCAGCTCAGGTCATGATCTCATGGTTCGTGAGATTGAGCCCTGTGTCAGGTTCTTGCTTACAGCATGGAGCCTGCTTGGGGTTCTCTCTTTTTCCCCCTCTCTCTGCCCCTCCTCTCTCTAAACAAACAAACAAACAAACAAACAAACAAACATTAAATAAAAAAGAATTTAAATTTACATGGGACCTGAAGTCTCAACCTGAATAACTGGCACAGACATCCTTGAACTTCTTGCAATAAAAAAACTTATAAAAGAAAACTTCTCTTGTGGCCACCATGACTGGGAACATAGGTGAAGGATCTGACTCAAGGATAAGCAATGCAGAGAACACAGCCACTGCTTTGACTTATATCCTTCCAAGTGAACTTTTCCTTTCTTAAGCCTTTGCATTTTCTAAGTGTTGCAATATCCCAACAACCAAGAGTGTCAAATTCCATCTCTAGCCTTCACATCTTTTTTTTTTTCTTCTGAAGGTTTATATCCATTTCTCTATGCTCTCTGAAAGCAAGATATCATGATCTAATTGCCTAAGAATGTATTTCCAAATAGATGTTGACAGAGTCTGAGAGTCTCAGAAAGATCAGACAGATCATATTGTCTCCTTTACTCAAGATTTTTAAAAAATTAACAACAACAACAACAACAACAACAACCCAACGTGATCCCCAAAGAACTTTCCTTTGTGGTACCTGGGGTATTCAAATCAATCAGCAAGTATTTCTTGGACATATGATAAAGATAAGAGGTTCTCTGGGACTCATGTAATATATTTGGGGAGCTAAACAGAAAACAGATGCAGATTAAAAACAATAATCACAAAGCTGGGATTGAGAGAGAGGAATGGGCTGAGGCAGTTATAAGAGAGGAGGTGGATTTATTAAGAAAACTGTCCCAGAAAAGATGAGCCTTTGCCTGGAACTTAAAACAATTCTCAATATTTGTGAGCAATTGGGCAAAGGCTGGGAGGGGCATAAGAGAAGGAAGCCTGAATGTCTGGGCCATCGGAGAGATGAGGAAAGAGTGGGCCTGAATGTGATGGGAGATGAGACTGGAAGGATAGAGAGGGGAGGATGGTAGAGATGGATCTGAACAAACTGAGCTACAAAGAGTTTGGTGTAATTGGAGCAAGTCCTTTGCAAGAGTTGAACATTTTTTTTTAGTATACTCCTTCTCAAAATGAAATGAAAGAAAACAACAGCAACAAAATCTTTCCTATTCACAGAGACTCTCCAAAGGCTAGACCTGTTCTATGGGCCCCCCGTAGGGAGATGTGGGTTTCAGGTTCTGCCTTGTCTTCCAGGACACATTCCAATCACCATCAAAGCTAAAGGTCCACCAATTGTATGTGGAGGAAAGGCTGGCAAGAGGCCAGTGACTGACTGACTGATGGATTGATTCATTCAACAAGCTTACCGTGAATGCCTTTAGGCTTGAGAGGATTAAATGTATTGTTCATGGAACTAGCACAAGATGGCAGACAAGTCTCCATTTATTCAGCATAAGTTTCATTTCTCTTTCCTCCTTTTGTGTGGACATTATTGAAAGACTTTTCAATGAAAATTGATTGTGATCCTGCTATGTATGTGTTAGGGACGATGTTAGGTGCTGAGAATACTAAAATGACTGAAACATCATACTGACAATGTGACAATGAACTTAAAGCCTAAATATTTATTTCCTTTTCTGCTTCTGGCTTTTGCTTTACCAAAAGGGGAGCTATTTCTCCTAGAACGGAGTGGACAAATGTGCGGCAGGTGAACAGAATCATATTTGCTCTCCAGTTGTTGTACCAGCTGTGTCACACTGACAGTGGCCTCCACCTGTCCAAATTCTGCTTCTGCCAATACAGATCCAAGTTATTTTTATACTTATATCATGTGATAACCCAAGTGGTGATGAAAGTTCTTTAACACTGAATTTGGAACTGAATGCATTCTAGTTTCTGGAAACCCATGTACTAATCATCTATTTCCAAGCAATAGATGCAATACGTAAACTGCAGCAATAGTCAAGAAACTTCCTGCTGGAGGTAGAGGAGTTGATCTTCTCATTTTGGATGAGGGACCTTGAACACTGGGAGGGACTGACCCAAAGTCATCTGACATGTAGATGGAGGCAGAGGACAAGCCAGGGCTACTCAAATCTCCTGGCTTTGAATCCATGCTCTTTTTATTAAGCCAGTGGTGACATAACTCACCAAATGAGTACAGATTTTAATCTCCCTCATCAAGAGGCCTGCTGGGCATACGTCTCACACATACACATCATGATGGTTCCTGGGTGGTTGATACTCATCACCCTCTGACTTCATTTTTTTTTTCCCTTTGCAAAATGGCTATTGCCCAGAGCCAGCATCTCTTCTCCAAAAAGGTAATGTGCCAGAGGGTTTTTGGAAACTGCTTTGATATCTGTCAGAAGCCAAATGATTTGCAGCAATGAACCAACGCACATAACAAGGATACCTGATTGGATTACCAATTAACCATCTCCACCTCTGGAAGGTGGCTGGAAAGAAGAGAAAAGGCAGTGTTTAGTTTGGGCAATTACCAAAAGGGCTTTATCATTCTCATCAAGGCATCAACACAGCACATTAGACCTCCTCCAAGCCATTCCACAGGAACTTCCCTCTCCAGATGCTCCAGCAAGAGTAAACTTGTCATGCAAACATTGGGTTATTGTGTCTGAGCTACAGAAGCACCTCTGTGTCAGTGAGAGGGGAGAAACTGGCTGACTTGCATCTGTTTTTAATGATGTCTCTGCTGCTGGGAAGTTTTGGAAGCTACAGGTAAAATCTTTCCATATAAAAGTGAGGCTGGCCTGCGGTGTAACATCTTACCTTTACTTGAAAGAGGCTCCTCGGTTTCAGTAGGCCTGGGGAGGGATAGGCTGATGTTTTCTCCATCTGGACCCAGCAAGAAGTGTCCCGGTGTGGGGTCTTCGGAATCTTCTTGAAAATAAACACAAGCATGGACAATGTTAGCCCCAGTGCAGGGGAGGCAGGCTTCACCTGGACTGTGCTCCCCGGATCCCCAGCAGGCAGATGCTAGTGTGCTCAGGTGCTTGCCAGAGTGCAGGGTCAGCCCTACTCCTGGGATTTGGCAGAGCAGGGCCAGCATTTACATCCTGCTCTCTGGAGGTCAGTGTGGGACTGCCACTAGCCTATGTCATGCCTTTGTGAGACTCTGGCAAAGGGGTCTCTCTGGACTCAAGCAGCCCTATATTGGCAAGGCTAGGGTGGTGTGTAGCCCAGCCCCTGGGCACAGGGCTATGTGATTTCAGCCTCTGCTTCCCTTTTCCATCACATGTCTCTCTGCAGTGCTCTGCAGTACAGCCTACCCTATGGATCAATGCTGGGACTGCTCAGTGACTCCAGGTCCTCAGGCCACTGAGAAGAAGGAAGCTGTATTTCCCTCTGTTGCTTAGAAGAGTTGAAGGTGTTTCTATAACGTTCCCTTCCCTATCACTGTGGCACAGGGGTCAGGAGGAGAGCTGGCCACTGGCCACAGTGGATGCTTACAAGGACACACACATACACACACAGGCATAAGATGCACACACAGAAACACACACATTTACAGATGTGCACACACATCTGATTACAGGTGTGCACACACATATATATGCAAAGCGAGTGTGCACACGCATGCACAGCCACATATGCATGTGTGCACGCATGTACACATGTACCATGCATGAACAAGGACACACATCAATACATGCACACTTGTCCTCAGGCATGCATGCCTGCATAATCACACACACATATATACACACAAGTACTCATGTAGGCATATAAGCATACACATACCCTCATACACACATGTGCTCTCATATACATATTCATTTACACACACTTAGTCAACACACTTGGGGCTTTAGGCTGCATTCTTATCATAGTCATGGCCCTGGTATTCATTTTTTCTTTTCTTTTCTTTTCTTTTCTTCTTCTTTTTTTTTTTTTAGTGTTTATTTGTTTTTGAGAGGGAGGGAGAGACAGAGAATGAGCAGGGGAGGGGCAGAGAGAGAGGGAGACACAGAATCCAAAGCAGACTCCAGGCTGTGAGCTGTCAACACAGAGCCCGATGCTGGGCTTGAACTCATAAACTGTGAGATCCTGACCTGAACTGAAATCTGACACCCAACCAACTGAGCCACCCAGGCGCCCGCATTCTAATCAGATACTCCCTTTATAAAAATGTCCAAGTGTGTGTGTGTGTGTGTGTGTGTTTGCTGTGATTTGTCTTGGGCTATGCAACCTCCTAGAACACCCTTGTTACTGACATGACTGTACCTAAAGTTTGGTTCATTTGTATCAAATTTAATAGAGGATCACTGCCATGCAAGTATAAAAGGGGAGAGTGTTGTAGGAGAAAGATTCCTTACAGAAATAGTTTGTAAGTGAAAATGACATCTTTGGAGAAAGAGATAGAGAGGTAGTGAAAGAGAGGAGTTTGATTTTGACCATTGCAGTGTTAGAGAAGCTGCAAACACATAAAGGAGTTACTGATCTATGTATTTAATTTATGCTTACAAGGTTTCAACTATACATGCTTGGGGGAAGGAGGGAGGGAGTCAGAGACTTAAACAGTGAGGCATCCTGTCCCTGAGTGGCGTGAGATGAAAATGAAAGATGCCATACTTGCTGTCTTTGTGGTTCTCAGTTCCCATGTGCCTCTCAGAGAGTGAGTTTCTTGCAGCCCTGAGTGTGATTCTGCTGTTAACAGAGATACTTTCTTCACATTGTCTGGCACCCAAACACACACTGATCTCCTTCATCTGGGGCTCAGCCAGAGAAAGCAGCCCAACACTCCCATGAAGGAGGAATAGCTGGCTGGGCTGCACTTTCTAGAAAATGGTCTAGAAAGTGTCCAGCATGGCACCTCCCTAAGGGACTCTCGGGTAATTTGGACTCTAAGCAATTTTTGCTTTATGAGTTGCTTTTAGATCAAAGCCCCCCGTGGAAGCTATTGCTGCACTGTCTCTGCATTATTGCTCTTGTATAAGCATCTTAGTCTCCTCCTAGACTCTCAGCCCTTAAGGATAAGAACTTTAAGTGGGCCTAAGTCATAGAGGATGTGGATTTGCTCTGCGTCACCCTTCGGTAGAAACCCAGGGTCCTTCTCTCTCTGTGAACAGGCCTCAGGCTGGAGGGCGGCTTCTCTCAGGGGACTCTTCCTGTTGGCAGGGTCATGTCACCAGGCTCCCTTGCCCCAGGGAGGGTGTTGAATATCCTGGTAAATCCAGTAGCGTGTCTCCCTGATGAGCACAGGGAGCTGTGTCATTACATACTGCTGCCAGGAGTGAGGAGAGCACAGAACAGCTTGGCAGTGCATGTTGGTGCAGCAAACCCTTAAAACATGTACTGACTCTTTAGGAATATGCATGGTGAACATTAATCCCAGACATTGTTGGAAACACTGCTCATTTCCTCTTTTCAATGGGGTGGCTTTCAGACAGCTTACATCACAGCTGCTGTGTGGCCCTGGCAGATGCTTTAAATGAGCCAAGAGCCACAGACAAGCTGGGTGGGGGTGGGGGTGGGGAGCATCTGTATACCCCAGAAGTGATTACCTTGTCCTTCTGCTGGGAGTGTCCCCTTGGCCCTTCTCACGTCCATGGGGCCTGTGGAGCTGTTGCAGCCTGATGTCCTGGGGCTGTCCCGGCCCCTCTGACTCTCTGGACTTTTTATTCCTTTAATCAGGGACATTGGTGGGGTCATATTTTGGGGTGGGACATCATCACCTTCCAGAGCAAAAGGAGAAAAAGCACAAGTGAGAATTTCTGAATCGGCAAGAAGGAGAAAGAACCTTTTTTTTTGACTTGGTTGATAGCTCCTTGTGCTTAGGCTGGTTTATTCCAGTTGTTCTTAAGTTTTTCCCTCTTTTCTAGCCCTACTAAGGAGTGGAGGCCAGGTGTGTCCCATGGCCAAGGTGGCTAGCTAGAACAGTGGTCCTTCAGTTGGGGAGCCTGTAAGCACTGGGAGGACCCGAGCAGTGGTTATTGTTCTCATCTTGTTCACAGGCTCCTGAGATAGAAAAAAGACTAGAGAGGCTATGAGAACCTTCTAGACCAAACTCTCAAATTAGAAAGCCCCCATCTTGGGGCTCATGGGATTGTTGATTACAGAGTTTCAACCACAAAGCAATTTTTCTACGCGGAACCAACGATCACTTGGTTCCTCAAGGTTATAAAGTACAAAGTAACACCTTCCAGATGATAGAGGGTAATGGGATTGATGATAATGCTACACAAAGCACATCATTCCCTTCACTTCTGTTCTCTTCCTCCAGCTAGTTTTCAAAATCAGTAGGGACTATTCTAGGAAGGGTGAAACCCAGTAATCTAAGTGATTGAGACCTTGTCTTAATCTCAGAGAGTGGTCTTTATTTCACGTTTAACACACTGTTGCCGTCGTGTTTCAAAGCTGGCTTCACACACAATTTCAAAGTATCACAGGCTACTGATTTATTACAAAGGGAAAATGTATCTTTACAATGGAGAAATCTAGTAGACACCACCTTTAACTAAATAATGAAATTTAACATCCCCTATAATAAAACAAATTATAACAAATGAAATAAATATGAAGGGATATTTTGTGTCTCTTGATGTGATTGCTGGGAAGGATGTATTGTCACTTACATACTCTTCTTGCCAAAAATGTTGCATCTGAATCTAATCACAAGGAAACAGACAAATCAAAATTGAGAGCAATCTGAAAAGCAACTAGTCTATCCTCTTCAAAAATGTCAAATGTCATGAAGAACAAGATTCTAAAGACATGAGACAATTAAATACAATACATGATCCTGAGTAGAGTCCTGGATTGCTTGGGGGGAAAAACTATAAGGAACATTACTGGTATAATTAGGAAAATTTGAATATGGACTATGTATTAGAAAGTAATATTGCGGGGCACCTGGGTGGCTCAGTCAGTTGAGAGCCTGACTTTGGCTCAGGTCATGATCTCACGGATTGTGGGTTCGAGCCCT